CACAAAGAGCCAATTTTTGCAGTGATTCTGACCTTACAGCGATTCCCCCTGTCCACTGTCTGTGCGAGAGTAATTTTGCCCAGAGGACTTTGCAGAGATGTTCATACCCTGCATTCTTTGGGTGCAGGGGACGCTGGCTTTTTCAGCTGCTCTGGGATGACTCTGTCTCTGAGCCTAAACACTGGGTTTAGGAAGAAAAGGCTTCTGAGAGTCAAAGTCTCTAGAGGCAAACAGAAGCTCAGACCAAGGAGCCAGGAACAGGGCTGGAGAGATGGTGCCAAAGGTCCTGGATTTGACTCCCAGCACCCACACAACAGCTCACAACTGTAACTCCAGGGGATGCAATGTCCTCTTCTGGCCTCTCCTAGCACTGTACACACATGGTGCACACATACAAAACAACAATATACATAAAATAATAATAGTTACTATTATTAATTTAAAAGGGAAAGCATGAGCCTAAGTGGGCCAAAAGTTTTAAAACTATGTTTGAGAAGAATGAGGTTTCTAGATGGTTCCAGGGACCATGGCTAGAGTGGCACAAGGGACTCACACAAATAGCAAAATGCCCAAGACCCTGATCCATGAAGGATTAAGATGCAATTCTGAGCTCAAAGGGAGAGCACCTGTGACAGACTAAAGAGGTCTGTCTAGGGCTGGGAGACATTGGCAAGGTATGGTGACTCACACTGAGACCTCAGCTAAGGGACTTTGCCTGCTTAGTTCCTTCTCGGCTTCTTAAGAAAGTGGGACAGTGGGCAGCTGAGCGACACACAGCCTCCTCCACAGAAGAGCTGACATTGCTGTCCTGTGGCTAGGCTGGACTCATACTCAGAAAGGTCCCATTTAGGGTCTACGCCTTCCCCAACCTAGGGTTTACCTTCTCTGCAAATCCTGGCTCTCGCACAAGGCAAGGCTGGTCTATGCCTTGCAGCCTCCAGCTCTACCCACTCTCCCAGCCTGTTCCTCCAGCCTCATCTGCATTTAACATGCCTTGTTGGGCTGTGGCAAAGAATACTCAACAGATTCATATTAAAAATGCCCTTTAAAATTCAAAAGCTTTGAACTAAAGAAATACCTTGAGAAGTTCTCGTGGAAAGTTCAGTCCCGTTGATTCAATTCACTACACTTAGATGCACCTTTTCAAATAATAGGGAAAAAATGTAACAGGGTCAGGCCCAATCAATATGCTTGTTCAAACAGAATTGCGGGGACTCTGATGTGCGTACATTTTGTGCTCTGCCTTTGTACACTGCCACTCGCTCTGAAGAAAGGTTTCTTTTGCTAGGGGAGCAATGAAAGTGGTTGCCTTTTGAGTGCAGGCAGCAAAGTGATGGCATGTTTACCGTGCTGGGAGGGGTTGCCATTTTTTTAATGTCTTCCCCAGCCTAGTCCCTTTGTTCTTTTCAGAACAACCAGAGAAGTCCCTTGGAAAGCCCCCGTGTGGTACGGGTCCCAAAGCATACGGCTCCCAGCATTGGCCTGCTATGTCTCAGAAATGTGATTTTGTGGATTAAACAAATAATTTGCTGTTTCATTTCCACCCTTGGTGAGAACACAAAAGGACTTAGCACAAGGTACTATGCTGCCACTGTAGGGAACTCCTGGAGCCCACAACAGGCACCTAGCTGGCTGGGCCAGAGTCTGTATCCATTACTGTCATCCTCCTTCATTTTATACACACTGTTCAGGGGAACCTGTAGGTCCCTGGAGAACAGGTGGAAGATGCTCTGACCTTGGGCTACCACCTAAAGTAGCCAGGAAAACTGCAAGAATTCTGCGTGAAGGTACCCAAGGTCTTCACCCTCAGTCCAGCATACTTCACAAACTGTATATATAAAGTGTTTTTATTTAGGTGGCATCTTGCATATGGTAAAAATGCAGGCGTTTCTGGAAGGTCAAGTGAGGATTAGGAGATTTTATTCCCAGTTTCTGTTTGACAGCTGACCTTAACATTTCCTTGTTGGTTCCGGCCATGATTAGACAAGACAACTTGGGCCTCCCCTGGAGCCTAAGTTACAGTCGGAATTAAAAGGGGAGCAGGGCTGATGAGATGGCTTAATGGATAAAGGCTCTTGCTGCCAAGCCTGATGACATGAGTTTGATTCCCTGGAACCTACATAGTAGGAATGCTAAATCTCAAACTGTCCTCTGACCTCCACATGCTAGTCACAGAACATGTGCAACACCTACATTCACACACATCAAATAAAAGGTGATTAGTGAAGAGACACAAGACCACATTCACACACCCCACTATTTACCACTCTGCTAAGGGGTGTATGCACCTGGGGTCTGTAAGGACACACATTTTGAAATGCTGGGCCACTCAGTTCTTAATTGTGGAATGCACATACTTAGTCTACAGATAGCCCCATCTTGCTTTTTAACTTTTTGCAAGTAGTGTTTATATGTACATGTGTGTAGGTGCACATACTCATGTCCAGTTTCTTCCTCAATTTCTTACCCTTACTTATGTGTATGAGTGTTTTGTCTATGGCACATATATGTACTGCTTGAGTGCTCAGTGCCCATGGAGGTCAGAAAAGGGCATCAGATACCCTGGGATTGGAGTTACATAGCTTTGTGAGTCACACAGGGTTCTGGGAAGCAAATCAGGTCCTCTGCAAGAGCAAGTCTTTTCGACCTCTAAACCATTCTCTTGCTCCTCTACCCTACTGTTTGAGACAGCCTCCCTTGTTGAGTCTGGAGCTAGGCTGGTTAGTCAGTGAGCTCCAAGGCTGCTCCTGTCTCCACCTTCCAAGGGCTGGGATTACAGGTGCATACCACCAAGCCTGCTTTTCACTTGGCTTCTAGCAACTGAACTAAGGTCCTCATGCTTCTCTAGAAAATACTCTCCTGACTGGGCCATCTCTCCAGCCCCAAGACTTATTATTTCATCTTATTTCAGGCAGCCAGTCCTCTCAAGGGACTGGGAAACATCAGGTCACATTGCCTCCTACACAGACACCACCATCCTGTGACCTTTTTTTCTTTTTTCTTCTTTTTTTCTTTTTGAGTGCTTTGCACTGAGTTTGACTAAAGCCCTTTCATTCTCTCTGGGGATTAAAATTGAAGTCACGACTCTCCTAGAACAGTGTATACCTCCCTCCCTGATAGAGAACCTTAGGAACAGCAGCCACATTCTCTCACACACAAGCCTATAGCAGTGAAATACAAACCAAGACCAACAGTTAGAAACTACCAATGTGGTTCTGCTGAGAAACCACCTACAGACGGCTCCCTTGTGGGGTGGGTGTTGACTGTAGTTTTTTGTTTTCTCAGGCGACTGCATTCAGTTGCAGAATTGTCCCCTCCCTGCTTTAATCTGTTATGTAATATTTCCAGCTAATGCTTAAAACTAGAAGAGTATGTTTTATTTTTAAATTCAAAACGATCAGTGGCCAAAATAACAGTTAGCCCCTCTCTGCCCATCCAGAATGCCTTAGAATCCACTTTTCCCAGTTTAACTACTTGGAAGGCTTCTTCAAACCTCCAACACACTCCTTGGCCATGCAGAAGCTTGGAAACCACACATATCCCTAAACCAAACTGGCCCCTAGTCTTCTGCCTTAAGCATGAATCACAAGTCAAGATGAATTAGATGCAAATCCAGTTTGCAATGGTCCATCACTAACAGACCTAATTGGAATGGGCAGTGTGTGGGTTGGATAGGGGCCCATTGTACCCCTTGTGCTACCTTGGATTAGACTGGGGCTGGCCAGCCCAAACCAGTCCCATATGGTGGTCCACAGCCCTATGGCTTCTTGCTTGGGGGTGGGACAAGGATCCTCCCCCCTCAGGCCTCCCAGGTCACTCAAGTATAGAGCTGTCAGTGAGAGGGATGTTTCATAAGTGAACAGAGTAAGTAGGAGACAGAGAGCTGACACAGGGTAAGAATACACACAGGCCACGGTAGATGAGCACAGCCAGCAAGAAACAGGACACGGATCACATTAATATTTTAATTTGTACATCACTTCTTTTTTTTTTCTTTTTTCTTTGCAAACCATTACACTTTTATTTAAATTAACTTTTTCTTGCAAAATATTCATTTCCTTTTTCCAACAAAATATTATAAAGGCAAAAATAAAATCTTATTTTGGCAAATGTCATGAAGTTGATACTGGCAGCATATGGAGTTAGTTAAAAATAGCAACTTCTAAATATATTCAAGGATTTTTTTTTTTCTTTTAAGCATAGTCAAAGACAAATTTTCATTTAAAATGTGGCTCCACCCAATGGAGGTGCTTTTTTTCTTTTAATCATTGCTTCGTGTATATAGACTATCATGAGACAAGTTAAATAAGGGGCCAAGAACACTGTGTCTGGCATGGTCACTTCCTCCTCAGCTGGGCTGGAGTCAGGTCAAAGTCCTGTGCCCTGGCCCTGATAGCCCTTGTCACCAGTCCCAGGGAAGCTGTCCTGGGTTTCCCCACAGCAGGCAGCAGAGGTCCTTCAATCCTGCCTGGCTGGAGGGATGGCGTTAGGTTAGGCCTTTGAATGCAGATACCACCCATGTGGAACTTATTGCTACAGCACACCTCTCATTTCCATTTCACAGCGGCTTTGTTTTTTTCTCTTTGCTGAGGGAACTTCACTGCTTCACAGTCATGCTGAAGAAGCCACAGTTTTTGAACACACATGGTTGTTCCTCAGTCAGAACCAAGGCACAGGCAGGCTCCATGGGCCATCCAGATGGAGTTTGCAGGGCTGGGCATTGGCCCAGCATGCTGACTTCCATATTCAACTGCCTCCCATTTTCTAGGGGGCACGGTAACAAGCCTAGTGCTGGAACCCACTGGAAGCACATCCCCAAATCCAGCCACTCTCTGGGGCCCCTGCCTGTCCTGCCCTCTCCCCACCCACTGTGCCACCCCTATAGTACCTGACTCCCTATGTGTGGCTACAAAAGCCTGCAGGCTCACCTTCCAGCCACTCAGCCCTTGAGGTGAGCATTACAAAATATATTCTGATTCTAAAATACAGTGTATTTCACATCATGTATCAAAAGTGCTTCTGTCATCTGTAAAAAGGAATCTGGACTGAAACAAATGGGCATGTGCTAGGATGGAGTCCTTGCTCCATGTTGCACCCACCATGGTGGGTGGGCTGCTCTCTCCTCCAGCCACAGCCCTTGTTCAGTTGGAAGGGTTCCCACTGGGGCAGAGAAGATAGTGTCTCAGGAAGATGCTGGTTGAGCTGGGCCCCTGGCTCCAGACTTCTCTGCACGCTGGATCATGGGTCTGTTACTGCCTGGGCTGGCAAAAAGCACAGAAGACAGTGAGAGGCTGGCAAACCTTTGTTTCTGTCTTCAGAGTGGGCATGTTTGTGCACACACATGACAGGCTGGCAGACGGAGTAGGAGAGCAGGGGGCATGGGCAAAGCGACCGCTGTCAAGGGACCTTTGGTTCTAAGACCCAGCACACTGGGTTTTATTTTTCTTCTACCTCTAGGAAGCATAATGCATTCATGCTAGTTCATGAATGTGTCCTCTGTAGTAGGCCAAGACCGGGGCAAGCCACTGGGCTAGTTACTACTTCTGCCCTTCATTCTCTGGAAGACTAAATAGCCCAGCCTCTGTGACCTTGCTTGCTTTATTTATTTGCTTGTTTGTTTGTTTGTTTGTTTATTTTATTTCTTCTCTCATATTTCCAACCTAAGGACAGAATGGTTCTAACCTGACTGTGGTACCATGAGAGGAAGAGGCATGGCTGAGCTCTGGAGAGGGATCTAAGTCCTAGCATAAGGAGGCTTGAAAAACTAGAGTGAACGGAGCCTCTCTCTAACACCTCGGCCAGCTCAGATTTCTAAGAAGAAAGCATACATACAGCTCTGGTCCTGGCAAGTCCTGTAGGACTTTCCAAAAGCATGGCTGGAACTTTCTGCAGCTTCAGTCCTCTGCTCTACCCCTCCTGAGGGCCAGGCTAGGTCCAAGCCAGCTGACCTCCCCCGGCTCTCAGACTGGCTGGGGCCTACTGGCTCTGAAGCAGAAGCAGTCCAGAGCTGGAGGGTCCCTGTGCAAAGTGATGTCGCTTTCACCCTCTTCTGCAGACTCCTAGAGCTTCTGGGGGTGACCCAGATGAGCCCACTAGACAGCAGTCATGGAGAATAAAAGTTGGTTCACATCAAAAGGCTTTGCATCCTGACACATGCTTCAACTCCTTAGGTAAGTCCCTCGGGCATCTGAGCTCCATTTCCTCATCTATACAGCAGAGAGAACAGCTTCATGGGTTTATTGTAGGGCCCAGGAGATACTCAGCACAATGTATAGCATTCAGTAGTCCCTCAACATGGTTAACCATAATCCAGTTAAGGAAAGAGAAGGGAACTATGCAAAGCGACAGTGAGGCAGATTGCTTAGAACCTCCAGTGTGACCTTGTGAACAGGTGAGGATACAGACAGGGCAGCTGACCCCTGGGGGGCTTCTTCCTTTACCCCCTGCCTGTTTAGGTCAAACCAAGCATCCTGATGGGTTATGGACTTGCCTCGGTCTCTTCCCTAAGGCACTCACTCAGTGACTGACACAGTTTCAGGCTTTGCTATATGAGGGACTCCCTAGGGTACTTGTCTTCTGTAACTCTGGCCTTAACAGTTCTTCAGTCCCTTTGAGAAGTCCACAAAAGAGTGAGATCTGATTCTTTTGCCTGGAGACTGGCAGCATGGCTTATGCGGTCTTTGGGGCATCAAGCTGCTTTGGGAAAGAGAAATGGGCAAGTGCAGCCAGGGCCCTAGAAGACATGTCCAACCCATGACCCATAGACTACAGGTGATCCAGGACAGCTGTGGATGCAGCCCAACACAAAATCCTAAACTTACTTAAAACATGAGGAGATTTTTTTTGCAATCTTTTTTCTTGTACCTTAACTGTACTGTTCTGCAGCAATAAACTCTGTAAATGGCAACATCATCTTCTAAAGTCAAAGGGCTGGAAACTTCCCCGAGATACTTCAACACCTGATAGCACCTGTGATGGCAGCCCCTGTTGAGGCCTGAGGTCAGAGTTCCTAAAAAATGAATCTCCTTCAACTGCCTACCATCCAGGCAGGTCCCCCTCAGCGGCCGCAGTGCCAATGGAAGGAAGCAACAGCAGATGGCATTGCAGTCAGCTCAGCAGCAGCAGGAAGGCAGGAGGGGCATGCTCAGGCTATGGGGTGCATAGCAGCGGGACAGCCAGGCAGGGGCTCTTACTTGGAAGGTGTTAGACAAAGGTGTAGTGCAGTCCGTTGCTTAAGGGGGGGTAAGGTGGCACCGTCCTGGAGGACAGGGGGGCTTTAGGCGGGAGGAGGGCCAGCTGCTGCACTAGACAGAGCACACAGGAATCAAGCGGTGTGTTAGAGTGATCTGTCCACCCACATCACCATATGTCCTGCCTGGCAGGACTGTGTGGCCTGGCCTCCTGTTCCCAACTGATGGCCTGATCCTGGGGGCAGATCCATGGGGCCTAACTTGCCTGTAGTTTCTGATTCAGGAGACAGAAAGAGCGAAGAAAGGTGTAGTAGACCGGGAGGTAGAACAGAAGGGTGTCAGGTCTGGAGTCATCAGTTGTGTGGGAGGAAGCTAAGGGGACTGATCAGAGTGGGAGCAAGCTGGGAATGTAGCGCAGTGACTGGTGGATCAGCCTGGTAAGCCAGAGGTCCTGGTTCAATCCCTGGCACCACCCAAGATCTGGTGGACGCAGAGTGAGAGCAAGCACAGCTGTGAGGAGAGTGCTTGGAGAGGAGGGGCAGCCTCACAGGGAGGGACTCAGAGGCTGCTGAGATAAGCTCTGGGGTCATCAGGAAGAGGGGCTGGCTGAGTCACAGGCACAGAGCAACACAGACCACTTTCAGGCCCTCTACATGTCTCAGACAGAGCAATGACAGCAAAGATCTCAGAATATAGTTTAGTCTGGTTGTTTTGAGATAGGCCTCAGTGTAGCCCATGATGGCCTTAAACTTGCTGTATAATCAAGAATAACTTTGAAACCCTGATCCTCCTACCTGCACTTTCCTAGCTGGGATTATATGGATGTAAGCCAACACACAAGGCTGGATTTCTAGGAACTCTGGAGGATCAGGGCATAGGGACAGAACAGGGCTCTCCTCAGAATCTGGCATCTGTCCTGGTCATTAGTCACTTACAGGGCCTCCTGAAGTGATGTCAAAGCTGCTTCCCACATCAAACTCCCCAGGGCCAGCAGCCCCAGGGCCTACAGGCCTCATCCTTGGTCAATTAGATTAGAGGACCAATAGAGAGAATGGCACCACTTTGGGTCCTGAACAGGAGCACCACATATATACACAATAGTCTCTGCATCAGGGGACAAACTGTGGACTGTGAGGCTACCACAGGGAGGAAGATGCAGGTGGAGGAGGGAGCCCAGGGTTCTTTGCCTGACAGAGTCGCTTTTATTGTTTTCTTTGAGATAGGGTCTCACTCTGCAGTCCAGGTTAGCCTAGCCTATAACATACATGCCACAATTCTCCTGTCTCAGCTCCTGACAGCTGGGATTACAGGCATGTGCTTACAGTAGCCTTCATACACAACACAGCCATGTGCTGCTTCTACACCACCATGATATTCTTTTGCCTAGGCTGGCAAAGCCTCGATTCCCAATCCCTACTTTCTACAACAGGGTTGCTGACAAGGTGAGTGGCTTTGGCTTGAGGACCAAGGAAGGGTTTCTAGGCAGAGAACAGAGGAGCCCCTTTGCTTTGCCCCACCAAGAAATTCTTGCTCCAGCATCACTTCCGCCTCCTTCTTCCCAAGGAAAGAAACTTGAGGCCTGTCCACTTGATTCAGAGCTGGCAAATATGGAGCTGAGTGGCAGCTCTTCTCCTGCTTGGGTCAGGTAGAACTCAGAATATACTCTTAAATGCCAATGTCTGCTAGCTTCCTGGCTCTAGGACAAGTCATACTGGGAGGGAGCAGCAGGCAGAAGCTGGGCTCTGGAGGCTGGCACCCACAGCCTTACCTGCTACCTGCTTGCTGCGCTGGGAGGCCTCTGAGGCCAGGGCATAGGAGATGTTGATGATCCGCTCCTGCTCCTGCAGTTGCGAGTCCAGGTCTGCCAGGCTGTTTCGGTCCTGGCCTGTGGGCTGCAGGTTGCACATGCTGTGGGAACCAGAGAGAAGGCTGTGAGTCTCACCCACCCTGGCCTTCAGACTCACATGTGGAGTGTCTCCCTGGCTGTGGGGAGGGGAGTCTTCAACACTTTGGGGGTATCAGATGTGCATTGCCTGTTTTCTTCCACGACAAGAATGGCCATTTCTCCCCAAACCTATAGTGAATAGGTTCCTCCTCAAGTTAAGGGCTCCATCTGGAGACTCCTGATAAATCCAGATGTGAAATGTGTAATGTAACTCTGGAAGGGAAGCTCACAGGCCAGAAAATTCACTTCCTTGAGTCCAAGCTCAGTGTTCAGTAAGCTGGTAAAACCCCTAGCACCCCCAGGACAAAACTGAGCCATATCTATGGAGCCTGAGTGAGGAATGAAGTCCCAAAGCCTAGTCTAGCACCTCCTGGATTGGCCTGGGCCCATCTATGCAGCTAAAATATTAAGAGGACCATCACTGGAGGTGACCTCAACTGAGTCTACTTTACTAATGTCTGGCTTGATGGCTCACACCTGTCAATCACTGGGGACAGACCTTGGACAGGGACAGGGACCCTTTACAAGTTCTCCAGAGCCTTTTAGGTGACTGAGGCAAACTTTCTCATTTGAGTACCTGCCTAACCCCTTCACTCTGAGGAACTCATGTGAAATAAAGCCTAGAAAAATATCGGCCAGTCAGCCTGACCTGGGTCTCCCATGGCTATGCTATCATCTGACATGGGGTTTGTGAGACTTCTAGACTTGAGCTAGCAAGGGTTGACCTTGATCGGGTGAGGATATTTCGTATCTTCTCAGCCTTCCGGTACCGTGCTTGCAGCTCTTCAAGGCTGGGTGGCTCCTCAGGATCCAGTTCCACATAACGCTCGGGGATGGAGACCTTTTCTGGTTTAGACAGCTGGGGAGAGGACCAGGTGATAGGATGGAGAATAAGCTTGGGTGGTCTGATTTGAGAACTGTTTATCCACCCTTCCTACCTGGTGAGGAAGCAAACTAAGTGCACAAAGGTGAAGAAACTTGCTAAGATCATCAAATGAAGTAGCTGTGGAACAAGCGACTTGAACTTGGGTCTCACACAAAAGCACATGCTCTTCCTGCTTTACTAGGCAGCTTTCTAGAGGCCAAGGGAAACAGCAAGGCAAGCAACACACTGAGCATCTCACAGGGAGCACTTAGTGCTATACTCAAGGCCCCAGCAATCTGACTCCCCAGTCACACCCACTCAGCGGGAGCTCTAGTGTCCTTCACACCTAAGGGCCTTTCTTCTGCCCTGTCTAGCTCAGGGACCTGGCAATGAGTACCCCTTCAGAAAACCCTCCGTAATAGATGAATAATGGATCAATGGATGGAGGGAGGAAGGAAGAGTCTTCCCTGTCCTACAAAAGTTCTTCAGGGCTGGGATGTAGCACATGCATTTAATCTCAGCACTTTCGAGGCAGGCAGAGACAAGTGCCTCTAGTCTACATAGTGAGTTTCAGGCCAGCTGGTGCTATCTAGAAAGATCCTGTCTCAAAACAGAAAACAACAACAAAACCCAACCAACCAACCAAATAAACAAACAAAACAAGATGAACGAACCACAGCCTGGCAGCTTAGAGAGCACCCAAAGTGGATTGGTAAAGTGAGGAGCTAATCGTAGTGAAGCATTTCCTGTCTCAAACACACTTCTGAGTTTGGGGGCATACAGATCAGACTAGATGGACTGAAAAGTTTAAGCCAACAATAACAGCATGCAACTGCTTAATAACCAAGGCTGTCTTCAGACTGTTGGGCAGATTTTACACTCACCTCAATAAAAACCTCAATGGGTGAAAACTGGTGGCCCTCTTTTTAGTTCTCTACCTCCTCCCCCATCAGCCTGACTCTGCAAGGTATATATCTATGTCACCTTTACAAGCTGTCTCATCCTTTCCTCCGGGAAAGTGCTCTAGGGGAACCTCACCCCTAACCTTAGGGGATGTCACCCAAGGACAGAAGTGATCCTCTGGTTCCCAGGTGACAAGAGCCCTCCCCTCACACTACCTACACTCAGCTGGTACAGCACCTTTCCTCCAGGGATGCTTAATATGTGCCAAAGAGAAGGCTCAGCAGCTAAGGGTGCTTTGCTGCCAAGCCTGATGACACTACAGGTTGTTCTCTGCTCCCTACACTCAAGGGTAGACGGTGCACAAGATACTAAAGTTTAAATTTAAGGAAAATTAAATACAAAAATGTAAAGGTAACCTTGCCATCACCAACCAGGCAGAGTCCCTCCTTTAAACCCGCAGTCCAGAGCTCTGAAAACCTCTGATCACACTTTTAGGGCTGCTTAAGCCTGTGATTTAAAAAAAAAATGTGATCTTAATTTGCCTCAAAGTAGTTTTCTTTGTTCTTGACTGGGTTGATTTCAGTCTCAGTAACAGAACTGAAGCCAGGTGGCCCTTCCCTTTGTTGAAAGGTGGCAAGAAATATCTGTTATCCCCAACCAGGACAGACCTAGAGGAAGGAAGTGGATTACATTGTAGCAGGATTTAGGTTAGAGACAAAGGACATTTTGCCTGGGCTGGCGGGCCAATTAGGACACCAGAGGGCATCCTTGCATTTCCAAGGTAGCAAGCACACGGAGGTTCTTTGTAAATGAGAAAAGCCCAGACGATTGGCTCCCACTGTTTAGTCAGTCAGAGAAAAGGCCTGGGGGAAGGGGGCTGGCCTTGTTGGCTGCTGGAGCAAGAATAAGAATGCAGTTACTCAAGCATCAACTTACCCACACTGTTCTTGGTTCTCAGAGCCCCTCTCCCTCATGAAACCCTAATCATTGGCAGAACCAGCTTGTAAAGGGATCTGCCCTGTCTCTTGGAAACAGGAGGTCTGGGTATGTAATTCTGTGTGGTTGGCATGTGTGAGATCCAGGTTTTAACACACACACACACACACACACACACACACACCAATAGTGGCACCCCTCTGCTCCAAAAGAAGGCACTTGAGGCCTGTCTTGTGTCAATCAGACCTGTGGAAGACTTAAGAGTGCCATCCAAACTCATCCTACAGATGGGGAAAATGCAGTAGGCCAAGTCCCTGTACAAAGGTTTGGGGATGCTGAAAATTCATATAGCAGTCTTCCACCTGCAAACATGTATAGCACGGCTACATGTGTTAGGGAGGCAAAGGACCAGAGCAGCTGCAGACAATGCATACAGACCAAAGGTGAACAAGGATGCTTAGAGTGTGGCACTCAGGCACTTAGCCCTTTCCTTTCTCTTGCCTTGTTTTCCTAGGCCTGCCATGTCATGAGGCAAGTGAGCCGCCAGAGGGCACCAGAAGAATTCAAACCAAAATTGGCTCTAGTCCTGGCTGGAAATGTCTTTTGTGATTTTTCAGACCTTTCCTGTATTTCACACCATGTATGATAACTACAGTCTGCCTAACAGGCCATTTGCAAAGGCCACCACTAATGATCCAGGGAACTTAATCTTCCCCACATCACCATCAAGGGAACAGGGGCACAATTTGCTCCCAATTACAGAAATAGGCTTAAACATTAATAGAAACACTGACGACTTGATGATCTCAAGCCACTGTTCATGTATCTGCCTTCTTGGGCCACAGTGGAGCCGAACCCTGACGGGGTGAGATTGCATGTCAGGCCAGGAGCCTTAAGTCCATGGCTTCTGGGAAACATGAAAGAAGCCCCCATCCTCACCTCTTTGTTGATGTCCAAGTCATAGTCTTGTGGTTCTAGGTCCAATTCCATAATGGGTGTGGCTTGCACTTTCAGCCAGCCATCTTCTTTGTCTTTTCTGTCCCCCTGAGCAGCCCGCTCCAGCAGCTGCAGGTCAAAATCTTGTTCTCGCTTCCACTGGCAACAGAGGAGAGGGTTAACCTCACTTCCTGACCCACCAATGAGTCACACTGGGCCCTGAGGCCTGGTGTCCATGAGAAGATGGACCTTTGAGACATCAGGCAAGTGTAGGAGCTGTGTGTGTAACTGAAAACAAAGCCTCTGCTCTGTCCTGCAGCCTCTTCCACACTTCTAGCTGTGTTCTGATCTAAGACCTCAGAGTGCATCCTTAGGATAATGGTGAAGACAACAAGACTTTATGCTCAGAGTGGTCCTGCCCCATCCAAATCCCTCTCCCCAAGGCATCATTCCTTAGGAGCCATACACTCCAGGAGCACAATAGGGGAAAAAAAAAAAAAAAAAGTCCTTCCCAGCCTTCAAGTGCTTGGGGATGATCTCTCTACAGGGCATTCTCAGCAGGGTTGGTGCAAGTAGGGGCCTGCATCCTAGCAGGGCTGCAGAGTTCCAACCAGTCCCAAGCAGTTGACTGGTGGCCAGTGTAGCCAACTGCTGAGGAGAATGGTAACCATTTGAGATAAGACATTTACCTTAAACTAGGAAAAAAACTAAAACTAAAACTAAATGTGGGGTCAGATGCAATTGCTCCAAGGCTATTTCACAGTGGCAACTTTGTATCAATGGTCTCTTCACAGGAGGGAAAAATCTACCTAAGCATGTCTGCCTAGCTCCAAGATGGCTTTCTGTGCAGGCTAGGCCTCTGACCTTAAAAGAACAAAGGGCCGCTCGTAGGAAGATGAATGGATACTATGCATCAAGTCATCTCCTCTGTCTCACTCTATTCACCTCACAGTGGCCCAGCAGCCACAGATGTTTCACACCCCCACCCACCCCAAGCCCATTGCCACATCAGCACCTTCCACACATTCATGCACAAGCTCAAGTTCTCCATGTCAAACCCATAGAACTATGTTTGGGGATGGTTTTCCAAACATAGTTGGGAAGAATTAGGCAATTAAAGTTCCAGGATAAATTTAACGGTTCACAAAGAAAACACACATTTTCTTACACGCTCACAAGTGCTCAAATAGAGACAAGTCCTCATTTAAACCCAGCCTGATTGCTTCCACAAACAGCAAAAATTCACCACACTCTGCAAAGGGCCCTGGGGAAGAACCACGCCAATCCGTCATAGGAAGCAATATGTTAATTGGCGTTGATGAGACTTACACAAGCCTTTTTTTTTTTTTTAAGAATAAATTACAAGGTATTGGAGTTATGGTTCTGAGATACTCTCTGCATTTCAGATAGCAGGTTATAGAAAGTCAGGGTTACCCCATATGATACTTACTTATAAAGCTTAAAAGTTAGTGGGTTTATAACTTTAAAGACATTATTCCAGTCCTTTGGTGACAGACAGATGCAGAGAAGCCCTCTGCATACAGTTTATTTTTGCTATCCAAGTTACTACATCTGAATTGCAAAAGCTTATAAGGAATTAATTGTGTGATGGGATCGGAGGAATTGAAACCAAATGGCCTCAGACTTTGTAGAACTTACATGTGCACTCTCTAATGTTCATGTCTACTGTCCAGTGTAAGGCATGGAATCTGATAAATTCCCAATGCCCAGACCTCTGCTAATGATTATGGTCCTCAGAGAGCAGCTTTTTGGGACGGAGGCATTATCAGTAGTTGGCCTACACAAAGCAGGGCAGTGGAAAGGTAAGCCACACCTAGTATGCCTGCTAGGCTAGGGAGACGAGAGCTGCTAATACAAGCCTGGTCAGAGACAGCACTGGCAGGTTAGAGAAGGCCCAGTGCCAATCAGAGCATCTGTAAAGACAATCAGGCAGGATTAGAGGCAATGAGCGGCCGGCGACACTAGAAGCGAAAGAGCTTGTGCAATGAATTAGGGAGAGCAGTCAGGCTAGAGGGCTGGGGAACTAGGGGCTCCAAACCCAAAAGCCAAATGGAATGTCTCCACAACGGGCCTAAGGCAACTGTGGGGCATCAGTCATCAGGGGGCAGCACCGATTTCCCCAGACCTCCTGAGTACCTGAGGCCTCAGCACCGCAGGCTCTGGGAGACCACCAGCACCTCAGATCTGGGGGCACCAATCCTTCCTGATTCAGTTGCCTCCCCTGACTCCAGTATCTGCTTGGGAGTTTGGGAGGCTGTGTGGTTGACTTGCACATTGTTTCTTTCCTCACTGTCTTCCTCTCCTCCCTGAACTCTACATTCTCAAGTCCTTAATTTAGCTGAGAAGCCCCTCCCACTTAGCAAATGAGTGAGGCCTCTGCTGCTAGATCCTCCCTATTACTCTGTTTCCATCCAGGTCATCCTCTGGCCAGCTCACACGTTGCAGCTGGGGTTGTGGACAAACAGCCCCTCAGGATGTTCTCTCAACCATGTAGGTCACCCTGGGAGGTGACATGTGTAGGCTTGGGGGACTTGGGGGAAACTCTGGCCTCTGTCCCAGCCCCATCTAACATACTGAGCCAAGATCTCCAGGTAGTGGCTGGCTGAGGTATCGGGCTGAGAACAAGCCCGTTCTCTCTCCTTGGCTCAGTGTCTTCTTGCGCTCCCGGACCAGAGCCTTCTGGTGTCGCTTCATCCGTTCCAGTTGTTCCTCGGCACTCATCTTGCCCCGCTGGTGGTCCCCTGAGTACAGGCGCTCCAAGGCACTCTTGGGTCTCTGAGGAAGAGATAAAACATAGTGGATGGGACTAGAAACATGGCTGCTTTTAGCACAGGGCCTTAGGTAGACCAGGCTGGCCTTAAATTCATTATGTAGCCGAGAATAATGTGAAACTCCTGATCCTCCCACCTGTACCGCACAAGTGCTGGTATTACAGATGTTGGCAATCAAACCTGATTTCTGAAGTGCTGGGGATCGATCAAACCCAGGGTCTTATACGCACTAGGCAAGTGCTTACCAATTAACTACACCCCTGCCCTCTCCCCGCTTAGTCTCTCTTTGTAACATGCTATATGAGCTCATTTTAGCCACAGAAAATCACTTCCTCTAAGTACCCAGTATCCCTCACCCTATAGGGTTTTCTGGGCAAAAGCAGACACTGAGGTGGGGCCTATCCAGCCAACCAACAATCTGCACTCTAGGGTGGACCTAGGATACAGGCTTCTTGGACTTCTTATGACCCGGACAGGCTTGGTAGTCATCAGAAAATAGAAATGGTAGGGTCATAGCCTTTTTGGTGAGCAGGGGGAAACAGGACCCTAAATTCCCTAAGGCTCACTGGTCACTGCCCATCCTAGGGTCCCTCCTACTGAGTATGAGTCCCTCCACATCCCAAGGCCACTTACAGAGAAGGTCACGTTGTTGTTTTCAGCATTCAGACCCCTCCGGAGTGTGACATAGGGAGCAATGGTGGACGACTGCTGGAGCCTGGACATGGAGCCCGAGAGCCCTTAGCAAGGAAGAAAGAATCAGGTGCATCTGTGGTGTGGTTCAAGCCCTCCCTAGTCACCCCCACTCTCTTGAGGGGCCAGCAACCCTCAACTAACAACCCACTTGTTTGCTCCTTGAACCTAGATAAGGCAGGCCCCAGGAAGAGAGAAAGGGTGGCCTGGGGGTGGCCTTTGTCCCTGCAGAGCTGTGTAAAGTTCTGCTTCCGTGCAGAAATGCTGGGCTGGGGCAGGTGGACAGGGGATACGAGAACCTTCATCCCTCTGCTTCATGGGGAACCCAGCTAGGGATAATACAGGAGCCAAGGTAAGGAGACCATAGGCTTAAGAAAGGACTCCCTGACACAGATCTGATACTGCCTCAGTGCTGGCCATATCACTGTGGAGTGATCTGGAGCCAGAGCTCTGGGATTGCTGGCTTCCTCTGTGATTGGCTAACTGGCGATGGTTTAATTTCTCTTACCCTCAGTTTCTTCTTTTATTTATTTTATGTATATCAGTGTTTTGCCTGCATATGTATCTGTATGCCACATGCATAAGTTATAGATAATTGTGAACCACCACATGGATACTGGTCCTCTGAAAGAGCAATTGGCACTCTTAAACCACTATGCTGTCTCTTCAGCCACTGACTCAGTTTCTTCATCTCTAAAATGGAAGTCCTAACAGCACCTGCCTATCAGCACTGCTGAACATGAGGCTCACATAAAACACTTCAACACTGTCAGACTTTAGGGCAATCACTGTTGTTGCTCCTGGAGACAGACAGGGGAGGAAAGACAAACTACTCCATGAGAAAAGAGGGGAGGAATTAGGCTGTGGGTGGGAGGAAGTTGGGCCAGTCCTCCCTCTCAGCAGTCACAGCTAGATCCAAGCTGCAGACCAGAATCTAAGGCCCAGGTAAAGGCTGTGAGTGGTGGAGTGGAGTGTGAGAACCCTGAAGGACTCCACAGAGGATCTTGCCTTACCTCTGCCTGGCAATGTCTGGTACCTGCTCTCAGAGCCCACGAGGCCCAGGGAAGGCTCAGGCACGTCCCCACTGAGGCTGGCCAGCTCTGGCTCACTCACATAGGACCGGAGCTCCACCTGTGAACAGAGTCTGAGGCTATGAAGTCACTAGTGTCACACCACCCTTGCCACACTCAGTGGGCATGCTCAGAGCCTTTTCAGCTCACCTTTGAGTCCCCATTCACACACTGGCCCTGCTCCCGGTCTCTCTTCCTTTCATCCGACTGTCGCTTGAGACCCCGTACAGATGTGTGCCTTATGACGGTGGCTTCTCTCGGCAGAGGTGGCACAGCTGGGGGCTGGTCCTCTGGGCTGTAGAGTTCAGGAAGTGGTGGCCTGGGAGGTGCCTCGTCTTCCTGTTCAGAAACAGAACCAGACCGTGTCCAGTGGGATGGAGTTGGAGTGGGGAGAAGGGCTGCTACTCGGCACTGCCACAGGATTGGCCACTTCAGAGCTACATAACCACCCCCGCCAAGGAGACTTTGAGGGGCCACCTCCATCCCAACTCTTCTTTTAGATCCAGTATGCTTTCTAGTTTCAAATGTGTTACCCAGTGACAGTGTGTCCCCAGCTCCAACACTTAGTGTCCTGGATCTACATTCTTGGCAGTGTCATATGATACCCACTTCCTCAGCATGTACTACAGGGGAGGTAGCCTGACTAACTCTTCTGAGATGATGATAGCACCCACCCTGGGGAACAGACAGACATCTACCAGCCCCACTGTGTTTAGCCTGAGAGGACTCAGTGGCTCGGCTCATGGACCCTGGGTCCTCTGTATGGGGATCTGTTCATCAGTCTGCACCCTCCTGCTCCTTCTTCCTGCTCTGACTGACAGAAGGGCGGGAGAGGTGGCTGAACTGCTGCTCACTTCCTGGGAGGCAGGGAACAAGACCAATCTCCTTGGTACTCAATGTGCTTGGCTTGTTCTTAGGGGCTATGGCTCTTCCATGCCAGGAGACAGAGCCTGATTGCCAGGAAAACTCATTCAGATGACAGCTGCACCTTCTTCCTCCATTTTTTGTTTGTTTGTTTGTTTTTGGAGACAGGGTTTCTACACATAGCCCTGACTATCCTGGAACTCACTATATAGACCAGGCTGACCTCAGAGATCCACCTGCCTCTGCCTCCCAAGCACTGGGATTAAAGGCTTGTGCCACCACTGCACACCTTCTTCCTTAACTCTCCCTTCATTTCTCCGGTTTGACCTTGTATTTCAGGATTTCACAGAATTTAGGAAAGAGTTCGAACTGGTTTTGCAAGGAGTCACCAGCATTCTTTGGAAATTTTTTTTCACATTTTATTTAGTTTGTTGGAATATGTTTATCTGTGTATACATGCGTGTGGGCACATATATGCTTTGGTATGCAAATGCAGGTCAGAGGCAACATGTGGGAATCGAGTCTCCCCATGTGGGTTCTGGGGGATGTAACTCAGGTCAGGCTTTGCAGTGAGCACCTTTATCAGCTGAGCTATCTCATTGGTCCCCTATCAGCTGCCTTAGAATACTTCACAGTTGGGCAAAAGGTAAGCACCCTACCTAAGACAGGCACAGGCTCCCTAGACTCAGCAACCCCGACAAAAGAACAGAATCACCAGTGTCCCGAAAGATAAACCCCAATACTCACTGTCTGTGACTAAAGAAAGTAGCCCAGAGATGGGGTAAGAGGGGGATATTTTCTTAGATACTTTCTTTGTGGCTCTTGTTTCTGTATGCTTTGAAATTACCCAATCACAGTTTTTATTTATTTGTTTATGTAGGTATTTGGAGATAGGGTTTCTTTGTATAGCCCTAGTTGGACTGGAACTCAGAGATCCACAAGCCTCTGCTAACATTAAAGGTATGTGCCACCATTCCAGGATCATTACTAGTTTTTAAAATGATAGTAAATTAAAGAAATAAACCAATCAACAGTGTGGGGACCCTGTGTACAATAGGATGAAGTGCACAGTGTGGAACACACAGAAGAGCTGTGTTCTATGCTAGCATAGTTCAAGTGCTTAGGGATGCAGACACAGGGAGTCAGGGAAGAAAAGGATAAGGGGATTATATGGAAGCCAAGACCACTGGGGGCAAGGGAGTGGATGTGAGGCTGGAGGCCTTCTGAGGTTGCTCACTGCCTGAGTGCTGGCATATCAAGGATGGTGCTGATGACTGTTCACTAACACATTTTGTTTTGTTGTGTTGTGTTTTCTGAGACAGGGTTTCTCTGTGTAGTCCTGGCTGGCTTTGAACTCACAGAGATTAGCCTGCCTCTGCCTCCTGAGTAGTGGGATTAAAGGCATGCACCACCCCCACCCAGCTCACTGTCACATTTTAAAGTCATTTTCAAAATGGATATTTTAATAAAAAAATTTATATTGTATGTAGATGCGTGTATCCACATGTGGGTATGTGCAAATGAGTGCATATGCCCTTGGAAGCCAGAGACTTCAGATCTCCTGGAGCTGGAGTTATAAGTGGTTGTGAGCCAGCTGATGTTGGTGCTGGGAACAAAATTTCCATCCTTTAGAAGAGCAGCAAGTACTCTCAATCACTGAGACATTTCTCCAGTCCCTAGATCCTTCTTTTCAAAAAAAAATTATGTTTATTTTATGTGTATGGATGTTTTGCCTGCATGTATGTCTGTGCACAAGTGCTCCGGTGCCCGTGGAGGCTAGAAGAGAGCATCAAATCCCCTAGAACTGGGGTTACAGTCAGTGTTAGCTGCTGTATGGGTGCTGGGATAGATACTTCTGTTACATAAATGTAAATGTCTAAAACAAGTAAACAACCACAAGAAGCAATCAAGTGTTAAAAGCACTGACTGTTCTTCCAGAGGACCCAGGTTCCATCATGTGCTCAAGAGGAAACTGAGGTAGCTCAGAAAAATGATAGACCTGCCCAAGGACCCAGTGAAAAGCTGAAGATAGGCTTTCACCTCTGTGCCTACTCTGGCTGCCAGGCGCCTTGCAGCACTTTGGCAGCCTCCTGTCCAGCAAGGCTGCTGGCTGCTGCTCTAGTCTGCCCCTCATATCGGGTTGGGGAAGGAGAACCCAAGATGGACTGAAAACAGTGATTCGGCCAGTGCAGCTTTTATGAGTTGTTACCTAGGCTGGAGTGCACTCTACAATGGTGCAGGTGTTGGGGTGTCACTCATGTTGCTATAAGTCACACTTCACCCCTGCTTAAAGAAGCCCAATAAACTCATCAGTCAACCAGGTACTTGGGTAGAATCATTTCTTTGGTCTGCTGTCTGTGACTTATGTGAGGTCAACAGACTTTTGTTTATCTCTCTGCAAGAAGTCACACAGCACGCCCTCAGCCTCTAGCTGCCATAGCTTACCACCTGAGGCTTTGTCTTGGTTGGTGACTGAAGAGGGGACATCACTTTCCTCAGCTGGGGCGGGTGAGGTCGATATGGCACGTAGGTCTGCAACTGTGGGAAGAGTCGGACTTCCAGAGGTGTCCGCACAGGGCTGGTGGGAGGACTAGGCTGCAGGACCGGCTTGCTCTCAGTTGGAGAGAGTGAAGGCACAGATGGATGAGGGAACAAAGGCACCGTTTTTCTTTCTGAGGGTATGGACAGAAACAATATAAATGTAGAATCAAGAAGTGTGGAGCCAAGAGCCTATTTCTCAGTGTATGGGTGATGTAATTGCCATGGAGACTCAGCCTCCCTAAGAGCCATCCCATGTGCCCCATCGTGTCCCTACATTCAGATAGATGGTTGTTGTCTTACCTGGATTTTTGACAGATCCCACCAGGACTCTGTAGTTCTCTTTATTTGCACTCAAGCCTGCCATGACATCTTCAATCCTCCACAGATCCTTCTGTATCTGTGACTTCTCCTGAGGAAGACAGGGGACTTGTTCAGAATCTTCCTGGTTCCTTACTAGAACTTTCTTCTAAGGACTTGTGATACCTCTGCAGTCAGGGTACCTCACCACAGAGTTGATGAAAACCTGCTAGGGCAAGCACCAAGTCCACTCCTTGAGAAGCAGGCCAGTGAGGAATGCTGGGAGCCATGTTCACCAGCTCAACTGGCCTACTTTACCCAACTGGAAATAGGTTGCCTTGAACATCATAGAACTCAACTTAAATGATGTATGCAACACCTAGTCAATCTCACAGAGAATAGAAGAAGCCAGGACCAGGGGAGGAGAAGACAAAAGATTTTCAGTTTCACAAGATGGAAAATCCTGGAATATGGCTGCACAACATGTGAATGGACTTAAGACTGCTCAAGAGAACTCTTAAAAACAGCTGGGATGCCTGGTGTGGTGGCGCATACCCTTACTGCCAGCACTCAGGAAGCAGAGGCCATCTTGGTCTACATAGTTGGAGGCCAGCCTGGGATACATGATGAAACTCTAGGGGGAGGGAGGGGGAGGTAGAAAGGGAGGTAAGAGAGAGAGAGAGAGAGAGAGAGAGAGAGAGAGAGAGAGAGAGAAAGAGAGAGAGTTTAGATTAGCATTTCTTTCAAGTTCAAGGACAGCCTGGGTTGTATAGTGAGACTTTTCTCAGATACACCTCAGTGACAATAGAAACAACCATTGGAAGGTTTTACCAAGGGCAATCACTTAGTATGTTCAAGCCTTTACACTAAGTGTTCTGGACTGTCTCCAACAAAGGGGATTAAGGGGAAAAAACAGTAGGAGAAAGGCATATTCTAGGGATTTTGTAAGGTCATCCCTAAACCACAGGAGAGTCTCCAGTGTCCTGGGCTGGCCTCCCAGAACCACCTGAGTGAGTGGAGACCATTAGGCCTGGGAGGGGGGCACTCCCCAAAGAAGTTCCTTGGTTTCCCAGGGTTAGGGCAACATCTGAATCAGAGCTCCATCATCATTTAGCAAGCCCAACTCCCAAGGTGTCATAGCATGCTGCCCTGTGCACAAGAAGCCCCCAGGAACACTTGCTGACTCAAATACTCTGAATCTCTGTCAGAGCCCCAAGAAGAAGAGAGATCTGAAGTAGAGTTGGAAAGCAGGCCACTTTCCATTTTCAAAGTTTTGAGTGTGGGATAGAAGCATGATGCCTACCACAACACAGGCCAGCTAGAATGCCTTAACCTTGAGCTAAAGCTACCTTTTCCAAATTGGCCAGGGGCCACAGAGATGGGATCACCCAACCTAGCCTCTGGAATGGCAAATGAGCATAAATGAGAGAAGAGGAGCCACCAGGGACTGAATTCACTCTCCTCAGGCCAAGGAGTGACTGCCAGAAGCAAGACAGAAGCTGAACTTCCTACTATTGTCCAGGGAATCCAGAAAAAACATGCCCCGGCTTCCACAGTGCCCCCCAGGTGAAAATGGGTACTGAACTGGGCTGCTCCTGGCTCTGCTCTGTTAAAGGACCAGTTCTTCCCCAAACACTGAGGGCTGGGCATTGAGAGCAAAGAAGCAGGAGAACTGAGGTGAGCCTTTGATGAGGGATTCCTTCCAGACTAATATGGTTTGATCAAGCAAGACCCCCTGAAGCAGTGGCCCAGATGATCCAACATCCAAAACAGCTAAAGTGATGCAGCTTCACACTACTACAGCCAGGATTGGCCAGGTTTCTGGAGTTTCTCAGGATCCCCTTGGGACTGACAGCACCCCCCAAACAGCAGGAAGCAGTTTGGAGAGAACTACACCCAAATTCCCAAATATTATTTATAAATGTTTGTTTTCATTTAAATGAGGTTGGTTATAAATGGTTAATGATCAAAGTCCATCTCTTTCTAAAGAAAAAAAAGGGAACATGATATAGAAATGTATACTTTACATTGATATGGATTTTGATTTATTGATACAAATTTAAAGTCAATTTTGTTATAGGTATATTTTTGCTCTTGTTAAGTATTATGTTTATACAGTTCATTTAAAAATGTAACGTATAATTAAATACAGATTATAGATAGTAATCTATAATAGTCAAAACTTATAGTTATGTTAGTTAGGTTGAAATATATTTCAACTGAATAGGTAGTCTTCAAAACCTTTCAAAGACCTACAGAATATGGCATATAAAATGGTTTATTAGGGTTTTTCATGACAGTGAGACACAACTGCTCCTTGCAACACCAATTACTTCAGAGAGGAAGATGGGCGTTGAAGAAACTTGTTACGGAGTTTGCCTTCAACATGACAGAAATAGACATTTGGGCAAGAAACTGCTCTTGCCTGGACTGTTTGACTGTATAAACTGGACAGGAAGAACCCACAGGAAAGTGACTGCTGAACTTGCCAAAACAAGATGGGACAGTCCTGAAGGATTCCTGCTTCATGGAAGAGGACATTCTGCAGGACACAGAGAAAAATGACTAACAAACTGCTAATACAGGCGGACAGTTTAAAATTTCCTGTTTCATTGAGAAGTCTGCCAGACACACTATGGCCTATGAACTGAAAATGGATGCTCCAACGTTACAGAGGAACTTTGGGTGACTGTCCAGGCAGTGAGATGTCTCTTTCAATTCTAGAGTTTATATATTATCCTTCTGAGGTCTTTGATGGAGTAAAAGACAGATAGTTATGGTTATGGTTTTCCTTAGTTATGATAAAAGATAAGTTACACATAAAACTTTAGACTCACAAAGATAGGATAGATGATAGAATATTTTCTTTAAATTTTGCCAAATGTTAACAGAATAAATATTGTTAACTATAATTCTTTCTTGATAACTGTTTTGTTATATATAAATTTCCTATGTTAAAGTAAAAACCCTTCTTTTTATTTAGACAGAAAAGAGATGATGGGGAATGTTCTCTTGTATAAATGTTTCTCTTATTGGTTGATGAATAAAACACTGATTGGCCAGTAGCCAGGCAGGAAGTATAGGTGGGGCTAGGAACTGAGAAGAATTCTGGGGGAGGAAGGAGAGAGTGAGCCACTGAAGAGAAACCATGTAGATAATGGAAAGATAGGACACACTGGGCATTCTCTGGTAAGATAAGGCCACGTAGAAATACATAGATTAGCAGTTATGGATTAATAATTAAGAGAGAGCTAACCAATAAGAAGCCGAGCCATTGGCCAAACAGCTTCTAATTAATAGAAGTCTCTGTGTGTTTCTTTGGGGCCAAGCAGCTGAGGGAACAAGCGAGAAATAAACTCCACCCACAAGCCTTCTCATCATGACAGATGGAATCCTCAAGGGAGAGCTTGGGGTAGCTGTTTGGCAAAGCTCACAGCCTAACAGGAGGATGGTGAGTTAAGGGAGGTGACAACCCTCTTCTTTCTTGGTCACCTGGAAGAAAAAGGCTCTTCTGTGTCGCTCCTGTAGGGTCTGCTTCAGCTGTTCGACATCCCTCTCCAACTTCAGGTACTCATTCCAGGCATTTTCCATCTCCTATTAGCAAAGAAAATACTCCTGGTCTCCAGATGCCCCTCACTTTGTCCCCACCCAGTCCAGTCTCCTTGAGAACACCCACCCCTAACCTGCTGCTCTGTAGGTAAATGAGAAGGGGAGAGCTTAGGCAGCTTGGTGGAAAGGAGATGGGAGAAGGTGACCCTGGCCTCCTATGCTGCCCACTCTCCACCCCAAGACGGTTTCCTTCCCTGCCCCAGTAGCAATATCAACACCACAATGGACTGACGGCTACAACAGCAGAAATTCTGACACTGGGCACAGACTAGAATACAGCCTGAAGACTTCTCCATAAAACTGGTCTCCCTCAACTATCCTGATGCAAAGAAGCCTAAGGTGAGGAGTCAGACATGCTACCTCAGGATAACCTGCCAGCAGGAGGCAGAGACAAGTTCTCAACAGCAGGGGTAATGGGAATACAGCCATGGCAGCAACAGGGGAGGTGCCTGTCACCTCTTCACTCTCTACATACCGTGGACTCTCTGCAGAGCTCTGCTCGGATGTGGACGAGGTCCTCCTGGAGGAGTCTCTGCTGGCAAGTGATCTTTTCCAAGTGCTGTGGCTGGTCTCGGTACTGCTCTGTCTGCCTATGCAGCACCTCCAGTATGGATTCTAGCCGGTCCTGTACCAGAAAAAGCCAAGAGCAAAAGGATCGGAGGGCTGTCCCCAACTGAGGAACTAAACAACTGAGGCCAAAGAGGCCAGAGCTGAGCTGGAGCAGAGACACAGGGCTGCAGACAGCAGCTCAGACTGGCTCAGGAGGCAAGTCTCCAAATATCCCCATGCCTCAGTTTTCTGATCTACAAGGTGGATGCAGAACCTTCCAGTTCCTTACAGATTATATGGAAACAAATGAAAGAAATGACAGAAAAACTTTGCAAGCTCTTGTGAAAAAAAGGCATGTCACAGATCTTCAATACCATGGACATGTATCTTATTAAAATACAAAAAGGAAAAAAGTCGCTCTGAGATTCCCACTGTGGCCCTGGCTCACTCCTCTCTCTCCATCTAGACTTGCTGCCTTCCTTCACAGCCCAGATCCTGGGGGCAAGGAACCTGGGGAAGTGAAAGGATTGGCCCATTGTGACAAGGCCACTCTCTCTAAGGCAGACCTTTGGGTTTCACATGTCAAGCCATCAGACCTGCCAGTACTTCGGACTCCCAGGCTGAGACAAGGGCCAGAACAGAATGAGGGGTACTTGAACCAAGCAGACTGGGGTCCCCCTAAAAGCAGGGGAGGCTCAGATGAGAATCTTTGAGAAACACCCTTAGACAAAAAATACTAACACGTGTTGTTTATTTATCCCTTGTGGTTTGTAAACAGAACCAAACACTGCATAGCTGAAGATGACCTTAAAATTCTGACTCCCCCTGAGTCTACTTTCCATGTGCTAGGGTTACAGGTATGTGCTGATCACACCTGTTTTACTTGTGATGCTGAGGTGGAAGCCGGGGCTGCACAGGTTAGGCAAGTGCTCTATAACCTGAGCTAAACTCCCGCCCTTTCTTTCTGTTGATTAATGCTAACATGAGAGTGCAAACACTATTAGTAATGACAAGAGTGACTGCATGTCTCTCCAACCACCCCACTACTATGCAAAGATGATGCATACTTTATTCTCCTTGAGAGCTCGGATCTTGTCTTCCAAGTCCTGGAGGATCCTGTCTTGTTCACAGAAAACACTCAACTTGACCTATAAGCAAAAATGAGTTGGAGAGGATGGGGGTAGGGGATGAGAACAGGGCATGGCCTCAGGAATAAGAGCAGAAAGCCTCTGGCCAGAGCATCATGTAAACCCGGCGGGAAGCTGCCCAAGTCCAGTTAGGATGGCCGAGGAGCCAGTTTGTCACTGGTAACTCACATCAATGTCACTCTCAGCGATCTTCATCGGCTTCAGACTTCGATCCTTAAGAAGATCTCGGCCTGTCATCTGGGAGGTGAACAATTTAATGATTAACTTGGTGTGTGGAGTCAAAATTCAGGAAGGAAGGTTAGTCCTATGGTGGATGAAGATGGAAGTCTCAGCGGAGGCAGGAGGCTCATGGCACAAAATGGGCAAAAACTTAAGTACTCTCTGCATTTTTTAATGCCTACTTCATTTTATGGAAAAACTAGAACTTTTTGGTGATCCTAATTCCACTATTAAATTTAACAAATTAAAGGAAATGCAGGTGCTCAAGTTATAGGGTTATCAGTTTTAAAGGTGTTTGCCCCAAATGAACATGACACATTTCTGTGGGTCTTCGTTGGTTTCCCAAGGATAAGAGAGGCCTGCTACTGTACCTAGGGACAAATGCAGTTCTACCACCCCACTGCCCAGCCTGTTTCCAGTCTCAGAGAAGCCCCCTTTCCCATGGACAAGGCCAGCCTTCCTCACTCTACACTACTAAAAGATCCAGGCAAAGGGAGAAGAGACCCAGGTCAGGTCCAGCTGATGTTTTTAGATCCACACCTAGACAACAAGGGTTGGCTGTACTCACTCATGTAAGTTATAAGCTGCCGTACCATCTCAACAAAGCAACCAACAAGTCACCCACACTTCCAGGCCAGTGGAACACCCCACTTTACATCCTCAGTCAACTGTAAGCTGGCAGCTTGCTGCCTTCATGCTCCCATTGACACCCAAAAAGCTGATTCCAACACTCAATCCCATGCTTCCATTGCCCAAGTCACCTTCCTGCCATAGGCTGTGTAGGTGTGGGCTCCCATGACCAAGACAAAGTCAGGTTTAATGTATCTCAAATCATGAGCCCATCTCTATTCTGTTTTCAAGTTCTGATGAGTGGACATGGAGAATAGGGTAATCACAGCAGAGGTGCGTAGTGTGTATGAGCTAGGCAGAAGGCTCCAGGATGGACAGACAGTTGTTAGAGAACTAGCCTGTGTTTTCTCCCCTCCATATGGAAGGACCAAGAAGTTTGCTAGTGTGAATCAGGAGTCAAAATTCATTGGCAATCATTCCCTTCAGACTAACCACATCCATGTGCCCAACTGTCTTACACCCTACCTTAGAAAGTCCAAGCCAATATCAAATGACTTCTTTTAAAAATATATTATTTATTTTACATGTATGGGTGTTTTGCCTGCATGTATGTCAATGTACCATATGCATGGGTCTGTGTACTCATGGAGGCCAGAGAGGGTATTAGATCTCTTGTAATTGGAGTTACAGACAGATGTCAGTTGCCACGTGGGTTCTGGGAATGGAAACCGAGGCTTCTGGAGGAGCAGCCAGTGCTCTTAACCACTAGGCCATCTCACTACCCCCATCAAACGACTTCTTGCTCTGGGCTGAGGACTGATTCCATTTGGCCACACAGCAGAGGGCAGGGATCCTGGCCTTGCTTATTTTGTAACACCCAAACATAAGGTCTGGCACTCAGCAAGCATTCATTGAACTTCTTGGAGTATGTGTACATGTATGTACACAGAATATATGGAGCCCTGGAATGATCCCTCCCAAGGGGAGGGCTGTGAGTTGGTCTCTTCTCTGAAGAAACTGGCCTGGGCTCATTAACCAGCTAGAAATCATTTTCAAATTGAGGCGTACTTTGGGGATTTCCCTCAGCAAACTCTTCCCCTCTTTCCTCTGAAATTTTTTATCAAGGATGCCTCTGATGCTTAAATAAGGCAGAGGATCTAACTGAGCAATGCCTCATTTATCCAGCACCATCAGGGAAGAAATGAGGTGTCTACACACAAAGGCATTCTGAGAAAGCGAAATCTAAATTAAGCTTTCTGATGGCATTCCCTCTGAAAGTGTGCCCTTTGCTGCTGTCCTCAGTGACTCTAGATCCAATCTTTTGCTTCTCTCTCTTTCTCCTCCCCCACTCTCCGCCCCAGGGATAGTCACATTCCCTCTTTTCTAAGAAATAGGCCTCTCTTATCCTCTTTAATGTGCTGTTTATTATAAGATGTGGGGAGCTATGAATTCAAAGTGCTTGCCTTTCTTTCTTCCCTTTGAGTGGGTCTGGTGCCCTTCAGGGTGTCCCTCTCACAGGGTGTCTGTTGCCACTGCGGTACTTGGAGTACTGGATTACAATGTTATTTGCTCAGTTCTCTCCAGACATACTAACCACATTAGGGGTCACTATGGAGACTAAGATGTATTTTCTATCCTTGAAGCCCAGTCAGGACCTGGCATATGGAAAAGATACAGAGAATGTTTCCTGAGTGAGTTCATGAACATGTTGAAATCAGACTGGCTGGTCTGGCTTCCAATGGAGTAAAGGTCACAGGCCACAGGGCACCAGCTTCCTGAAAGTTCTTCTACAGCTCAGAGGTCCTTCAGTTTAGCTCTGTTCCAGAGAAGGGATGCTCTGTCAGTTACAGCCACAGGTAGTATGTGGCAGCTAAGTTTCCCTTTTTAAATTGTGCTCTGTGATAACAGTATTTATATCCACTTAAAAATGTTAACAATGGAGGCATTATCTGTCATCAGAAAAATCAAAAGTCTCGGGTCCTCATTCATATTAAAAAAATCTCTCCACGGGAAGAGACTCAGGGTCCATGGGTCATCCCACTTCTCTACCACATCAGGACATGACACCTGTCTCCACCAGTCTGTAGCCTCCCTCAGAATGTTCCAAGAGCTGGCTACACTGCAAAAGAGAACATCTAAAGGGTGGCCATCCAGTCCCAGACTGGTACCTGCATGTCAACACCCTGCCCCAGCGAAGGCAGAGACAGTGGAACCTATGGCTTCTCTAAAGTGCATAGGAACTGCTGCTCCCTCCCAAGAAACTCATGTTCAGGCCTATCTATGTGGAGGCAGACATGTGAAGATGGAGACACAACACAAGCTGATGGCAAGCCAGGCAAGCTCCCCATCCCTCTGCAACACAAAAGATGGAGCCACAGGACACCACAGATGAGCAGCTCAGCCCAATGTGTTGGCCACAATGCTGAAGAGAGCTTTGGGTTAAAGAAAATCAACTGAAATGACTTGCAGGAAGCGAGGGGCATCAGGAGAGCAACTGCTTAAGCAAGTGATGATGCAGGCCCTGAGCCAGAAGCAATGGAATGGCCCCGCCTGGAGACACGGATCCGGTCATCTTACGCTTCTCCCGGGCCGACAGCCCCGTGCTGACTTCTTCAGCACTTTGTAAAGCACGTTGATCAAAGGTTCATTATTTTTAATCTGTTCCGAACAGAAAGGCAAATACAACAAAACGTAACAGGTGAGACATCCAACGACACTTGAAGCAGCCACAGTCTGGGGGCTGGCAAAGGGGAACCTCAGAAGTGAGGTGTGCAGACAGTTAAGACAGTGTGAACTCCCAGCTATGGACTTCCCTGCCACCTGCCTCTGAAGAACAGGCCTAATCAGGTTTGCGTACTTGTGGGAGGGGAGACTGGGTAGGTTGACCATGCACAAGGTCCACTTCCTGGCTCACTCCCTTCCTAGTTCTGCTGCAGAAGGCAAGGGGAAGCCCGACAGAAGAAGTCAGCTTCTTCTTGCCTCCCTCACCACATTCTGTAACACTTAGAAGCTTGGTTTAGAGTGGCTCCATGCCTTGTCTCATTTCTAAGAATTAGTTTCCACAGAAAGTCCTTGAATTTCACCTCCATACATGTGGTACAGCTAAACATCCATGACTAACCAACCGATGGTCCCAAATGCTTACAACTGGCGCTGGAAATAGTCGGTCAAGACCGCTCAGTGGACAATGGTGCCCCAGAACCTGAGAACCAGCTCCTGCAGGTTGTCCTCTGACCTACACACACACACACACACACACACACACACATTAAAGGAAAGCAAAGAGAGAAAGAAAACACTGTCTCTAGCCTCCATGTGGGTACATCTCAGGCCAAGAGAAGTTTTATCTTTTATTAAAGGGTTGGCAATGGAACCCAGGACCTTATGTATACTAGACAACTATTTTATCCCAAGTTATAACCCTGACTGACATCAAGGTTCTTACGGTGGCTCTCCAACTTTAGCATGCAGAATCACTTGGAAGGTTCAGGCTCCATGCCAGAGGCCAGTCTGGAGTAGGACTCAAGATTTTGCATTCCTAACAGATTCCCAGGTGTTGCTGCAGTAGCTGGTCAGAGACCACACTTTGAGAACCACCACTTCTGAGGGAGTGGTGTAACAAAGGTGTAGCTCAGGTGGTACAGAGCTTGTTTAGCCTTCACAAAGCCCTGGGCTCTGTCCAGCACCACATAAACTAGATGAAAATGCACTTATAATCCCAGACTGAGGGACAGAGGCAGGAAGATACAAGTCCAAGGTCATTGGGCATCTAACCACAACCCAGATAGACGAGACCTTGTCTCAAAATAAAAATAACAAAAAATATAAAACAACCACTTTGAGGCAATATTTCTCAACCCTGGCGGCACTTTAAAAACACCTAAGGAAGGCCAGGAGGTAGTGGTGCACACCTTTAATAATAGCACTCAGGAGGCAGAGGCAGGCGGATCTCTGTGAGTTCGAGGCCAGCCTGGTCTACAAGAGCTAGTCCAGGATAGGCTCCAAAGCCACAGAGAAACCCTCTCTTGAAAAACCAAAAACCAAACCAAAACAAAAAAACCAAGGAATTGTTTGTTTGCTTGTTTGGTTTTTAAAGAGCAATGCTTGAATATTACCAATTCAGTCAGAGTCTCTAAGCATGTGACTCAAACAATGATGTGTATTTTCCAAGTTCTCCAGTAGTTTAGCTCACAGCCGGGGTTAGTAATCTCTGTCGCTAAATGGCAGACCTCAAATTTTAGTGTGAACAAAAGTCACATCAGAGCTTGAGCCCAGGATTCTTAGCTCAAGAGTGCTAACTCAGTAGATACATCCAGATTTGCCTTGAACAAAACAAAACATTTACTTATCTGTGTGTGCAACCTGTGGTGCATGTGTGGAGGTCAGAGGTCAGCTTGTGGAGTCGGTTCTCTCCTCCTATCACTTGGGTCCTGGGGATCCAATTCAGG